ACCTTGCCAATCTTGTGGCCACGGCTGCGCTGAGGCTCGCGCTTCTGGTTCTGGCCTTGAACAGCTCCTCCGATGACGCCAAGGTCGGCAGCACCTCCAACGGCACCGCCAATGCCCTCGATAATATTGCCAATGATATGGCCTTTGCTGCGCTTAGGATCGCGCTTCTGAGGGGGTTGCTGGCCCTGGACAGCTCCACCGATCTGAATGATATCAGCAACACCACCAAGACCATCACCNAGTCCCTCNATGACCTTGCCAATCTTGTGGCCACGGCTGCGCTGAGGATCACGCTTCTGGTTCTGGCCTTGAACAGCTCCTCCAATGATGCCCAGGTCGATAGCACCGCCGACACCACCGCCAATACCCTCGATGATATTGCCAATGATGCGGCCCTTGCTGCGCTGAGGATCACGCTTCTCGTACTCAATCGCTGGCGCCGACAAGCCTACTGTCGAGTGTTCTGCATCAATGCTATTGACTTTGTCATCAGCGATTAGCGGAACGTCCCTCTTTGCGGCTGGCTGAGATTCTTGGCTAGCGCCACCGAGGTTAAGCAGATCTCCGGCAATTCCAACACCTTCGCCAAATCCCTTAATAAAGTTTCCAATGCGGCGGCCGCGCTGAGGGTCTCTCTTCTCGTTCTGGACTTCTGGGAGGTCGTAGTCGACAGACTCACTGGCCACTACTGGCTGACCGTGCTCGTCCACGACTGTAAGGCCCCTCTTTGCAGCTGGCTGAGATTCTTGGCCAGCGCCACCGAGGTTAAGCAGATCTCCGGCAATTCCAACACCTTCGCCAAATCCTTTGATAAATTTTCCAATGCGGCGAGGGTCTCTCTTCTCGTTCTGTCCCTCGACGAGGTCGTAGTCAGCGGGTTCACTGGCCGCTACTGGTTGACCGAGATTATCCACGACCGTAAGGCCTCTCTTCTGGTTCTGGCCCTGGACAGCGCCGCCAATTGTGAGAAAATCTGCAACAGCACCGACACCGCCACCGATTCCCTCGGCGATGTTGCCAATGATACGGCCCTTACTACGCTGAGGATCGCGCTTCTGGTTCTGAGGCTGGCCCTGGACTGCACCGCCAATTGTGATCAGATCTGATACACCACCAATAACACCACCAATTCCCTCGCCGATGTTCCCGATGAGACGGCCCTTGCTGCGTTGAGGATCCCGCTTCTGGTTTTGACCCTGGACAGCGCCGCCGATAGTAGGCAAGTCGGCAGCACCACCAATAACACCACCTTTCTCGACGATGTCGTCAATGACATGGGCATAGTTTCCCTGAGGATCACGCTTCTGGTTTTGACCCTGGACAGCGCCGCCGATTGTGAGGAAATCCGCAACGGCACCGACACCGCCACCGATTCCCTCGGCGATGTTGCCAATGATACGGCCCTTGCTGCGTTGAGGATCCCGCTTCTGGTTTTGACCCTGGACAGCGCCGCCGATAGTAGGCAAGTCTGCAACGGCACCGACACCGCCACCGATTCCCTCGGCGATGTTGCCAATGATACGGCCCTTGCTGCGCTGAGGATCGCGCTTGTCAACCGCCCGGTACATGGGATCACCCCTAATGCTGTTAATCTAATGCCTTATAGTGTTTGCTATGGAAGACTTACATCTGAGGCGTGTATTGAAGATCATCAAGGGTCAGAGGCCTGGAGGAGGGGTTGAGCGGCGCGCCGTTGACAGCCATACCGGCAGTGAAGGCCAAGATGGCAGCGATAGTGGAGGGATGCATGTTGAAAGAGTGGGTGGAGTGGTTTGATAGGAATGAAGTTGGGTAAAAAGACCGGCTTGAAGTTGCGAATTCGACTTTCGAAGTGAATTTGAAAAGTGAGTGATCGTCAACCTGCGAGACCGAGAGAGAATGGAAGTGATGATAGATCGAGTGATGCTGATCTGATGATTTGCAAATGATGCGCAACTGCCTATCTTTATACTACTCGAGATGCGATACTTCTCGAAAACACAAACACCAGGCTTGAACGCCAAGTCGTTACTACAGTATCAACGATACAGATACCAAGACAGAAGCATAAACACGAGAAACATCGGAGTCCCTTAGCATAGACGTTACTCGTCTAGCATTCACAGCGCACGGCCTAGGTAGTTGTCAGCAACTATACTCTAACGCTCACACGCTAACAGCTAGTTAGAACAAACATGTCGAGCATGAATAGTTCTGTTGCACAAGCATGGACAGTTGCAGCACGTGAGCATGAATAGTTCAGTCAAGAATAAACACTTAGTATGGGTGTCACGTGTTTCAAGGCCTTCTCGAAGACTATGCGTTGATTTTAGCTTTGTCTGGGCACTCTAAACCAGTCTTAAACAGGTAGTGTCACAATATGTAGCTACTCAGGACCCAAACTGTGCTAATTATGCGGTATACTGTACCTTTTGGCGCCATGTAGCGTAATAGAGCCGAACCGCTCCCGCGCGAGTTAGCGTCGTGTTACACATGCCTTGATCAAACCGTTTCACTCCTAAATTTAGTGTTACCCCGTAAAGAATCCATGAGAATACACAGAATGTGCTATACCATAGTATCGCCGTCTAGGCCCTTCCTCTTCCCTTTTCCCTTTCCCCACAAGGCTGCTTGCCTCGACGCTACAAGTCATGTACCAAGGCCCCATCATGCGCTGTGCCCCTCCCCCAAGATGCCGTTTGATCGACAGCAGCGGAGAATTGCTTAGCCTACTGCAGGACCCAGTGACTTTCAAAACTTACTTCTTCTTCGAGAGAACCTGCAGCTGCAGGATCAATACACTATCTACTGTGTGGAGCGACACATCATCGTAACCAAAACTCGCCAGGAACCACCACACAACATCGACGATACCACTACTCCTACTAACGAAAATCATACAAACTACAAGAACAAAATCATACCCGTACTAAGCAATATTCGGTCTTATAATATCAGCCTCGTGAAACGCGTGAAAGCACGTGCAACACCGCTGCCGGCTCAAAGGCATTGGCGACGCCCCCAACGTCAAACCAGCAAGACCCTCTTGGCACCACCTGACGAACAAGCCCAAGTATACTCACATTGCTGTTTTTTCTTCCTGCAGCAGTCTGTGCAACAGCACTAAGAAAAGGTCAGTGCTATGATCATGCTTTTTTTCTTTTTTTCTGAAACTGGGGGGAAGGAAGATGAGAGTTGGTGCGCGCATGCGGCTCAAAGCGCAAGGCGTGAGCATTGTCCCTTTTTTCTCTCTCTCCATCTATCTATCTTTTCTTTGGGGGGTGGGGTAGGGTGAGATGTTTGATCGCTACAAGGCATGAATGGGGGCAGGATATGGGTTAGATCAGATGCAGAATATAGTAACAAGACGTCTTTTTTGTCTATCTGAGGAGGCGGGGAAGAAAGGGCTTGTGGGGGGGTCGTGTTTGACGGGTTGCCGGAAACATTTGGTGGGTTAAAGCGATGAGATGGATCGTGAGTCGGTAATAGTTGGGGGTCGATATAGAGGGACGGAAATAGATTTTTTTTTGGGGGGGAGGGGGAGGTCTGGATTGCCTGGGTGAGGGGGAATGACGGGGATTGAGGGTTGGACGAGGCTGTTGAAGCTCAAATCCGCTGACTTGCGCATTGAGGCGTGGAGGTGTGAGGGGAGATGTGTGCGGAGGTGTATACAAAACGTTTTTCGATTCAATGCGCTGTGACCAAACGAGAGCGGACGCAGCAGCACGTGTGTAAAACGATGACAACCTGCGTCGAGCTAGTTTGCACTAGAAATGACCTACTACTGCAGCATCTTAATGCAAAACGAAGATGAATAGCGCCCTGTAAACTGTCGCTGTTTGCGCTTAATCTGTCAAAACACGTGATGAAAACTGTTAGGGGAGGCAGGAGAAACGCTGATGCCAAACGGATGCAAAGGTGCTGCACGTGTTTGACACGATGCAACGTGGAAGATGTTCTCGGGGAGTGATGGTGCAAACTTTGTGCGAGCTGTCAGATTATAGTTTGTGACGGGCGTGATGCCGCTACAGACAGCCAAGTCCACGAACTATAGTGTTATCTAATGATGTGTATGGCGCTTGTCTCGGCAATGTGACAAAATGATAATGTGTAAATTGGGTTCTGATGTCATTGCGCCTAAGGTGAAGACGCTGTGTTACTTGTCGACTGTCACTGACATTGAACACAGTGGTTTTTTTTCTGAGATATGCATTATTCTGTGGCCTATCATACATATTCCCTAGAAGAATATGCGGAAAAAAAAGAAAGAAAAAAAAATATGAATAATTCTGTGCATAGACTGATACACGGTGTCCGAAATACCCAGATACATAGCTGGCTCAGAATTTAGTTTTTCGCAATGGCTGATTAGAGAGAAGATTAACGTAGTTTACAAGCGAGTGACGCGTACAAGCGAGTGACGCACCCCACCAACTTTGCGCACCTCTCATCTCTTCACATACAATGGCTCGACACCAAATTACTCAATCACATTCAAAAGAAGCAGATATTCAGCTTGCTATCTCGTCTATTAATA